CTACCTGCTTTTCCCACACATGAGTATTATTTATTTATAATGGAATACTATGTATAATATAATATATGTTTTTCAAATTTTGTTTCGATTATTCGATTCAATTTGTGTGCCAATTTAAGTGAAAAATCTCTAAAAAATCTCTCGCTCTCTTGTGTGTGATTGCACCTGGTTCCTGCCACCATTTGCTGCACGCAAGTACAAAGGCGCTCGAACTCTTTTGGCATTTGTCTCACGCAACTCGCGAGTCCCGTTAGCAATGAAAAATATTCAATAATAAAAAATGCAATACGAGTTACATACGGCTTTAGCCAAATGTCAACAGCCAAAAAGGAAGGGAAAAATCTATATTACGCGATATATTTACGGCATTTTAAATGAAAGCACGTGTTTGGCAAGGCAAACGAAGCAACGCCAAAGGCAGCAGCGACGCTGATGCTTCGAATATCGCACCTAAGCTCAGACCCACCAGGAGGAGCAGCAATAGAAGCACCAACAACATCAGCCACCTGAAACGCGACCATAAAATGGCAAACGAACGCAATAAAAACTAGAAACAAGCAAGACTGGGGAACTTTGAAGCCGACGTGTTAGATACCCTCGCGGATTTATCGCTTTATTATCTTTCCGGGCTCGTTCAGCACAAGAAATGATCTCTGAAAGGTTTCAGTAAGATGTGTAGAGTTTTTCCCTTCAAATATCTACTCAAAATCATTGTACCCTCTTCAAGGGTATAACTAGAACAACGGCTGCTGGGCCGCAAGCAATAAGCAGAGAGGTGGACTCCTGGAGAGCAGGAGTGGGAGTGGGAGTGGGAGGGGGTGGTCGGAGTGGGGCTGCGAAGTGAACGCGGGCAGGTGGAGCGCATTACTTTGAAAGTACATTGAGCTTGAAAATGACTTTGTAAATGGCGCTCGACAAATATTTTATTACCAGGGGAACAGCAACAATTTACTTTGGTATAGCCCCACTCAAAAGTTCCTTGCTTTGGCTTGCTCTCTGCTAAGAGAGCCTCCTCTCTGCTTCCTTGGTTTAAAGACTTACTTTAATTTTGCGACAAACAGTTATGAGTACTGAGGTGTACAAGGACACCCACTGTGAAGGCTACAACCTTTAAAATTAATTTACAGAAACAAAATCTGGGATTATAACCTCAATTAAGACCCCCCACATTGCCTTTGAATTAGGAATGATCCGCACTATTTACAAATCAAAGTTTCATAAATTTGATTTTCCACATTCCATTCAAACCACTTAATCGATGACTATACAAATGCCATGTAATTAATGGCTTCATAGTCGAAAATTTAGTGTTTAAAATTGTGGCTGATGCAAAAATTTCATTAAAAATTATCTAGTTAATTTAACAAATTTTGGGCTTTCCACATGCCTGCTGCGGGGGAGTACCGCACCCCACATTGGCGGCCATGGACAAAGAGAAAGTTATGGGAAAGAGGGTGGGTTATGGAATGTTGCCAAAACGCCAGGAGGTTCGACCTGCGGTTGCGGGTTCGCCCGGTCTGGTCCGGTCCGGTCCGGCCCTGCCCCGCACCGTTCTGGTCCTGTTCTCTGTTCTCGGTGTTCCGTTCCCTGTTTCTGGCTGGTAGTTATCCTTTTCGCGGTTACCTTTTGTCGCCTGCCATTGTTTTAGCGGCTCCATTGTTTTGCGTGGCCTTTGGGGCTGGGCCTGGCCCGGCCCGGCCCGGGCTATTGTTTCCATGGAGCCTGATGGGCAAAAATTTCCCGGGCCCCCTGTTTGCACTTGTTGGAGTGTTGACTTTGACGTGGTCAGTGCTGGGGGTCTATGCCACAACAGCTTCATTACCGCACCGTTTTCAGTTGATTACAATTCGCAAAATTAACGCCCATGTTGAGATTACTCCTTAATGTTCTGGCCAAGAAGGAAATATCCTGCTCAAAGGCACACTCCGTCTCCACTAAAGCTGTCTCAGATGAGACTTATCCTTGGGGCTGGTCGCGTAGTTTGCATTAATTTCGCGTTAATTTTGGGCGATAATCGTATTTCTTGGGATAATAGTCTGCGACCGGTGTCTGGGGCGGGGGGTCTGGCCATATTGCTTTAATGGCGGCTAAAATGCTCTTAATGGCATCTATTTGAGATTTTATTTATGCACTTGAAAATCTCATTGAAGTCTGGTCCGCCCTGGCCAGGGCGTTCCCTTGTAATGCTCCCATCTCAGCAAAATCAATGGGGAAAATGTATGCATAAACCCATATCCATAAAACACCAACACCAAACTTGTAAATGGGAATGGAGCTGGCCCCCCACAAGCCTCAGAATTCAAGGCCTGCCATTCATATCCGGCCAACATTACACTTAGCAAATTAAATTTTACTACGAACAAAGATAGAATCTCATCAAATATCACCAAAAGATAGAGTCCTAGAGCTTTGAGGGAAGAACTCAGTGTCCCAGAACTGAGTGTTCTTATTTCTTGTGTGGTGGAAAGCTGTAATTTGAATGAAAGCCGTTTACCAGTTGTTCTTCAGGACACCTGGATACCTACCTCTAAAACATAGCTCCCCTTTAATATTCAAATTCAAACTGAATACTCAAAATGTGTCCCCTGCCCCAAAGGCATTCAACTGTATGTTATAGTAGCGCCAATAAAACACTCGATAAAGTCAAGCCATTGGCAAAGATATACTCGTATTGGTATTAGAAATATTGTGTCCAGCGACCCATTCCAAAATGCAAATACCAAAACAGGAATTTTGCAGGCGCTTATTCATGGTGATCCAAAAATGGCCAATGTTTGATTTGCTGTCCATGGGGCAACAAATTAAAAGGCGCATGAACAAACTGTGGCGGTGGCTAAGAGGGGGCGTGGCGGGTGGCTTTATGGGGAAATAAGCAATGGACCTTCAACAAAATTCTAATTATTCATTGTCGACGCGCCGCTCGCTGACAGCGAAAACAATGAGGGTACTCGACTGTGAAAACTGCAACAAAGCGCATTCCAACACCAGACAGAGACAGACGAAGTGAGAGAGATAGACAGAGAGAGATGGGGAAAGAGATGGGTAGACTGACGCATTTACTGTCGCACTAAAAATAAAGCTTGGGGGCAAAGGATTTACCAGCCATGAGAAACATTGTCAACATTTTTTACAATTTTCTAGTCGTTATTTACCATTGTTTCAGCTCTGGCCATTGTCGCAGATACAGAGGCACAAACGCAGATACAGATACAGAGCCACAGACACAGATACAGATACAATCTCTCTCTCTCTATGTCGTACATATACTTGTATATATACATCTGGTTTCTGGTGTGTCCATACTGTTTGTTATGGCAGCTATTTGCAGCATTTAGTCCAAGTCCATTTAACTTTAATGCACTCTCCATCTCTATTTTCAGTCGCTAAATCCTTTATGGAACTGTAAAAGTGGGTCTTAGCCATCAGACGATCTTTGATTTATTGCCAGCAATCAGAAATGCATTCAACTTGGAGTGACCCATTAAGAGGGGTAGAAAAGGGTGGAAAAGATTGAGACTGGCCACAAGGACAAACCTCACACCCACACCCACACATACACATACAGCCACAGCCACATCCACGCCCACACCCACTCGGTAGCCCACTTTTCCTGGGGCTTCTAGGACTTTCCCTGGTGCCCAATTACAAGCAGTTGGCAGTACGGCCAAAAACTTTGTCCCACGCGCAATTAATGAATTCCATTCGAGGAACGGCGCCAAAATCCGTTTAGACGCAATGCGACACTGCCAAAAAAAAAAAATTACGAAAGCGGACAGGACGGACTGAGCTCGAAATCGGGTGAAACTAATAAATAGTAAAAAGATATATATATATATATATATTCACTTTCGTGTTGTAGCGTTTTACGGATTTAGTTGCTGGGAACATTTAAATGAATTACTTGCTGTTGACAGGTTTTAAGGGAGTTATATGAAATGATTGGGGGAATTGAGTTACAGATGGGGATGGTTTACCTGCTAACTGAATTTGTCCATTGGAATATTGCCCGACAACGACGAAAGAGTGATTAGAGTCCCCTAAAAGTGGATTAAAGTGAGATTTTTAACTGCATTTTGCTACTATTAAATTTAACCACTAGGCAGAAATCCTCTTTGAACTTTTTTCACCTTTGTTTGGCTTATAAACTGACAGCACAGGTCTTCCTGGTCTGGTTTTTTACAGCCGGAATGTTAGTTTTGTGGTAGATGTGATTGTGTGCAACACCCAGAAGGAAGCGTTTCCGACCCCATAAAATACATATATAAATTCTTGATCAGCTTTAATAGCCGATATGTCCGTCCGGGTCTTGATGAGCGCCTAGATCTCAGAGATATCAGTGATATCAGACTCCTACAAGCTTATTTCAAAATTTTGGCCTGGCCCTTTCCGCCCCGCCAAATGGTGAAAATCGTGGCATCCAGAATTTTTAAGAGTTGCAGGATCTTAGGAAATGGTCATATCTACTGGACTGCCGAATCTGGATCAAATTGGAGCCGATGACAGCCGCATGCTCTCTCTCTCTCTCTCTCTCTCCCTCTCTCTGTATGTCTCTGTAACTGCAATAACAGAGATAGTCTTATGGGAAAATTTCATGAGAGATGGGTAAAACATAGAAAGACAGAGAGACGAACCACGACCGCTAATTATGTTCTAATGTCGATTCTTACACTACGTTTATCCTCTTTCGCTGGTTGACTTTCAAAATGTGTGTAAATCTGAAGTGACCCTCTTCGCTGATGGCTCCCTAAAGCGTGCTTTAAAAACTAGATAACTTTCAGAGAACTTACCTCCATCGCCAATCTCCCGATACCTTTTCCAAAATCATAAAATGATCCAGGGCTTGAGTAGGCAATAGTTCTATATTTCAAGAACATTTCAATGTAAATAAAGCAAAATTCTGGTTTCATTTTATCATGTAAGTTATACGTATACCTAATGCAATAAATAAGTAATAAATAATACAAATGGCTTACTTAACTGCCCGCAGAACACATTTGTAGGTACGTCTGTGTAGCAGACGGGTGCACTCGGAATTCCAGTAGATCCGATACGTAGAACTGCGTAGAGAAACAGGGACCAGATGGCCAATGCAGTCGTGAACACCACATCGCCCATGGCTGGGCGACGCCTGCAACGGGACGTAACCCGACTCCTGGCCTCGGACCATCGTGCCACTGTGGACGACAACATGTCCAGTTTGGCCGTGCTCTTCGAGGGGCCGCTGGGGACTGCCTACGAGGGTGGAATGTGGACGGTGAACATAAGCATGCCGAAGGACTATCCGCTAAATCCGCCAAAGGTCCGCTTCATCACCAAGATACTGCATCCGAACATCGAGTTTAACACGGGCCTGGTCTGCATGAATGTGTTCAGTCAGGCCTGGTCGCCCAGCTACGATCTGCTGAACATCATCGAGACCTTTTTGCCCCAACTGCTGCGCAACCCCAACCCGAACGATCCGCTCAACCACCATGCCGCCCAGATAATGAAGCACTCGGAGGCGATGTTCCGCGAGAACGTGATCGCCTGCGTGAACATGTACGCCCGGCCCACTCCAATGTGCCGCCGGTCGGAGGCGGGCAAGCAGCTTCTCGAGCAGCGCTCGTCGGATCTGAGTCTATCCGAACTGCTCTCAGACGATGATGTTGATAAAGATTAGTGATTTTGGCCGATCGTTTGTTAGTTCTTTGTATGGAACACAGTTTGTATAAAGTTTAACTAGAATGTGCTATATAGATGCAGATCTCTAAAGACAATTTGGTTTGAATTTAATAGGAATTAAGTATATGTGCAACCAGCTGTTGGGGGTCGCTTTTTTGTTGCTTGTTCTTCAATTCATAAAGTCTTAAAGTGCAACAATAATATTCGACTTTATAAACAAAACTAGGGAGCTTATAATTTCTCTATAAGCTGGTCGATCGAAATAACGTTTCTGTTGTTGTTTCTGCTCTTTGGGGCGTGCAAAAGCTATGGTGGAAAATTGAACAAATAAACTTTGGTGAACTAAATAATTTGCCATCTTTAGATGTAATTAAAATATACGTAACCTGTTTTTAGTTTTCAGAATATAGAATTTTAATTGCGCATTGAATCTAATTAGTCTTGACTACTTTACAGTCCATCAAACAATTTATGGAAAACGAAACATAGGGAATGTTAGTGAAACTCCATAATTACCAATTGTTTTTCCGAGCTGAAAACATTGTTTACATGAACTCAAGTTTATTCAATATCTTTTCTATACCAATAATTTTGCAGAAATATAAGTATTTAAATATTTTCCTTCCCTACTTTTTAGGGCAGTCCAAGTTCAACCGGAACTTCACCGGAGACGCCCAACAATTATTGTCTGGCAACTTAAAAGTTTCTAGATTTCATAACCATAATTTTTCATAAAATTATCGCATTTCCACGAAATTGATTTGTGGAGAAATTTCCAACGCAATGATGCTTCTGCTTAGATCATTTTGAAGTCTAATTTAGGATGTTCCTTGAGTAATTTTGTATTTGCCATAACAATTTTATTGCTGTCGAATGTTGCCATTAAATTGGCAGCCTTAATTGTACAGAGCATATTGCCATAATGCGCCGATAAGAAATTGATTGTACTCCATTAGCGATAATTACAAATTCACTGGATATCCATAATGGAAACTAATGTCATTTCGCACTTGATGACACATTCGAGGGCCCTGCAGCAGGTGATTTCTGGTCAATTTGTTGCATTTGAATGCTTAATTTGAGCATAGCACAGCGTTAGGGGTGAAAGGGCACACCATAGCTCTTTGAAATGTGGAAAACTCCGGCAAACAATGGCAAACAAAATCAGTCAAGTGCAAACAACGATTTAATTGTGATAATTACCGAAACACAATTGTTTTGAATGGCCGCCTCCGAAGTGCCCATGGAGCTGTGAGTGGTCTAGGCCGATGATAGATCCACCAAACAACAGCGTTAAATGTTTGATAAATCGAATTTGTAAATGCTTGAATGGCGTACGACTCGAGTTGAGAGCTCTTTGAATAGTTCTGGTTCTGGCTTGGTCCTGCTGGAGAATTTTCTCGTTAATTAATTAATTTATGCTCGACAAACGATTGGATCTGTCTCTAATTTCTCACCTTCACAGACAACCGAGAACTTCCCGGGAAAGCAGAAGTTGTGCCAGCTCTCTGTTGAAAATTTCTCTTGTCCGTTGAGAAATGTCTGTCGTTTGCCAGACAAATCAATATCCAACAAACAAAAAATTGCACAGAACGATAATTCAGCAAAACTGACAAAATGAATTCGTCTGGTTGTGCCCCGAAATTGGTCTAATGCGATAAAACTGGAATGGAAACCCTGCCCCGATGTGAGTGTGCCTTATTGACGCCTGCCCTGGCCCGGCCTGGCCTGGCCTGGACTCACTGGCTGACTGAATGTCCTGGCCACCTTCCTTGATTTCCATCAGACGGCTTGCCAATGCCAGAGACCATTTTCCAATGCCAATGCGAGTGCACTGTTCCAGACAGATGCGCAGACAATGCCGGAGTGGGTCTGGGACTGTGCTACTGGGTCTGAGAAGCAGGCTGAATCTGGCTTTCTGTCTGTCTGTCTGACTGTCTGTCTGGCTTCCCAACGAGAATTAGAATACGAGAGAGAAACGTGGCCCAGTCTCTGCGATTCGCATTCGGAATTTATGCAATAGTCGTTGCCGTTTTCGACTTTCAATGACTTTATCGTTGTATTTGCCACAACGAAATGATGCCATTAGTGAGGCATTCGATTGAAACTGATGGCTGAGTGGCTGAGAGAGAGGGAGCGTTGAAGAGGGGGGGGCGGTTGGCGACTCGTTGGAGCCACAAAGCTCCTCAGGGGTATGCAACACGTTTTGAGCTTTGAGATGGTGACAAGTTAATGGCTAAATGGGGATAGTACTCGCAGAGAAAAAACGTTTGCTTAATAGTACCATAGAGGATATCAGAGCTCTAAAACTCTACGAATCCTGCCCAAAATATCACTCTTTAAAAGACACCCAAAGTACATATTTTTCCCTAAGTAACCTGCCACCATTCCGATTCCCGATTTCCCCTACAATCTTTTAGTTTCTTACTTTGTCTAGACATTTGTATGCCAATGGGTACCGAGCGCCGACTTGAACAGCAAATATTTGGGCAAAGGCACTCGGGACATTTCTCAATACGAAAGAAGAGCAGGTCAATGGATGGTTAAAGCCGAGTGACTAGCCTTTGAGCCTGCACTTTGTCCCCCGCTAATTTATTCAAGTCAATTGACTCAAGTCGACTGCCCTTACAGCACTGCCTCATTAGCATATTCTAATTAATTTATATTATTCCAAAATGCACAAAACTTAATTGGTGTGGACCACTTAGTTAATGAAATTGAAGTTTGCTCGAGAGTTTTCCAACATCCTCAACCTCTTGTTTCCCATGGAAAATCTCTTCTTCTCTGGAGAATTTTTGTAGCTCCTTTCACTGCCTCGGAGAATTTTTGCAGCTTCTGTCTCTTGCTCTGAGAGTTTTTGTAGCTGTTGACAATTTGGCGTGGCTCTGCATGAAGGCCAGACCCAGCCCAGCCAAGCCAGTATGCCCATGTACTTCAGGCAAAGTTTCAACAACTCTACAGGGTTGCCAGCATTACAAAACATGGGACTATAGCCCCTTACCCTCCTGCCGCACCGCACCACCTCTCATTAAGCAGCAGAGAAAGTAGCAGCAACAGCGGCTGCCTTAAGAGTTGTTGTGTTGTTGGCAAACAAATTTTAGCCATCGTCGAGTTAGTTATGACTGACAACTTTTCAGCCCACAATTTGCATTTTGGCTTTTTCATTCCCGTGTCGCTGTACAGTATATAGATCTTCCTCTGTTTCTGGTTTCCCCCCAAGAAGTTTGAGTGTTTGCAAGTTATTTTTGTGTCCCTGTTTGACAACCAAAGGACATGTGTTCTACCTCCTTAAAGGCAGACGCAAAGTTAGGAAGAGGGAGAGACAGAGATGGGACTTTCTTCAATTTGCCAGCTAATTTATGCCAAAGACAGTTGTTTGTCAGAGACGAGGATACGATACGATTGCTGGAGACGCACCTTTGTGTGTGTCCCCGCATAAATGTCTTGTTAATTTCCACAATCCCATACCGAACCACCTCCCGCTGCCATTCCGTTGGCTCTTCCCTCTTCCTCCCTCCCGAAATACTTGAAAGTTCTCCCTGCGGTTTGGCTTGCCAGGTTGTGGCATGACCATTGTTTGCCTGCACAATTGTTGCTCCACTTCTGCACCCACTTGTCTCCTGCTCTCCCTGGCATGGAATGCTCAACGATGGGAGGTCTGGTGCGGCTGGTCCATGGACATGTGCCAAACAATGCAGCTTCAATTACCAGGCAGCTTACAGCTAGTTTAGCTGGGAATGTTTTTGTTCCTTGGCTGCCTGAACCCTTCGAGTGGTAGGCTCAAGAAAATCCCCAACCAATGCCAATTGAATGCGGACGGGGCGGACACTAAACTATTAACTAGTGGTATTGTTTAACAGGCAATAATACCTTTGGCAGGGGGTTATTGACGGGCGAAGAACCTAAGAAAATTCTCTTACATAGGTTGTTTGCTTCTAAGTGTGCAACTCCTGGTTTTTTTCCAGGACTCAGCCAGAAGATTCCACAAAAATAGGGGTTTTGAAAGTGGCTTAAGAGGTTTCATTACGTAAGTGTCCGCTTTAAGTGTGACGGAATGTCCCGTTACTATCTTCCATCAGTGTTTGCCTGTGAGAGCATTCCCTTCTATGCACTATCAAATCAAATTCCTCTGCAAACATTACTCAAATCCTGCATCAATCATTGCGCAAACTAAACCGAGCCGGATGTAGGATAACCCGAAAACCGATAACCCGTAGTACTCGAAAAAATCTGTTCCAACCTTGAAAGCGATTGAGAGAATGGAGAGAAGTTAAGCAGCCAATGCCACACAGGTCTGTTCCATTCAAATTGCTGGACATTAAACGGATGTCGATAAATGAGATTGACAATGACAAACATGAAAACGAGAAAAGCGCCCCGAAACGAGAGTCAATAAAATCCCCCAAAGTAAAATCCCTCCACAGAGGTCACAGAGGAATAAGCTAAAAAAGAAACCAAAAAAAAAAAGCTGGAAATCCTTAAAGCAAAGCGGAGCCGAGCTGAGTGACAGCTGTAGCCCTCTCTTTTTTCTCTATCTCCCTCTCTATGGGTTAACAGATGGCAGAACATTTACGGTCACAGTGTCACATATGTCAACCGGAGAGAGTCCGGATGATTGCAGGGCCGACCGAGATACGTACAGGCGAGAGGGAGTAGGGGAGTGGCATAGGGGTAGATGGACAACTGAAATGACCAAATGTCAAGTGCAATTCAAAATTCCAAAGAGAAAAGATATACAAGAAAGGAATGGTATGTTTTGTCGAAAGTTTGTAGTGGAAGCTTTAAACACACTCGAAGATCGATTATATGAACTCAATAATTTTAAAATCGGTAACAAGTGAAAGCATTATCTTTAAAATAAATACAAGTTTTTTACTCAATAACTTTCTGTGCAAAATACCTCTCCCAGAGAGTCTGTTCTCCACTATTGATGCTCACATTCTTCTCTATATTGCAAAAAGCGTAATACCCTCTTAAAGGGTATGTAGTAAACCAAATGCAATGACACTGCCCAAGCATTTTCCGTTTTGTTTAAATGTGAATTAAAGAATCTCCCAAAGGGTGGTCTGGATAGGAGCTCCAGGTTGGGATAAGGTCGTAGGGGATTCGTGTAGGGTTGGGACTGGGGTTGGCTGTTGGGCTTGGAGTCAGGGTGCACCCACCCACACATATGAAAGATTGCTTATTTGGCTGCTGGCCACTTGGTGAGAATGGCAAGTGCAAACATTGGCTTCCAGGAGCTCTGCGCCACTTGCAGCTCACTTGTGCTCCTCACCCACGACTGCTGTTCCTCCTTCTAAAACTCCACTGATACTCCTGGTGGCTGGGCTACTGCTCTTGCCACTGCCTCTGCTCCTGATGTTCCTCTGCTGTTGCTGCTCACTTCTGCTGCTACTGATGTTTCTCTGCTGCTGCCGTTCCACTGCCGTTCTGCTGTTGCATGTGCCATTTGCATAAATCAAATTTGAATTTGCATTGCTCCCTGCTAAGAGCAGATGCTGGAGAAGAGTGGAAGAGAGCGAATGCTGCGGAAGGAGAGGGAGCACACAAACAGCAGCTGCCGATTCAAAGCTCAAACCGTCATCCACACAAACGCACACGGACACCCCACTCCCACACCGACAGCCACACTCACACGCAGAGTATATTTAATAATTGGCAAGGCACTCTTAAAGAGGTCTCTGTTCGAAATCGGATCAGCCCTACCTTAAGTTTAATATGCCTTGCCTCCACCTATTCCAGCAACTACCAACAACGTATATGGCTGGCGAGGCAGCTGGATAAACACGTACCCAGCGCAGCTCGTAAAGGTGTAGGGCATGGTGTGCTCTACCTGTGCGTGCTCAAACACGCACCGAGCAATGAGCACGCAGCCAAACTTACGCACGCTCGCGCCTACTCACCCTCGTTTGCCCACGGTGAAAACAGTGACAAAGCAGCGCCCGCAAAGCGGTGCATAGTGCACCCCACAAAAGTCACAGAATCAAAGGAAAGAGGCGCAAGCTCCGAATTTTATCCAAGAGTATACCATAACCTTTCACGACTTAATCTTTTCTATAATTTTTTTAATTTTAAATATAGATTTCAGATAGATAGATAGATGTATAATTTTATAGAAACTCTCTCAAGCCTTGAAAACGTCATCGACTCGTTTGTTGGTGGCCGGCTTACACTTTCTTTGATTTCTTTGCAATTTCTTGCACATTAGCTCAAAAACTTTCGTTGCTAATTTACGAGGCGCCTCCACACACTCACACGTACGCGTCCACACGTACCATGGATATATAGAGGGAGAGAGGCAAGTGCATTAACGCCCTGCCACGCCCCAGCACACTTTGTGGCAACTTTTTGCCTCTCTCGAATGTGCAAATGAAATAATAAATGTGCAGAGTTTCGCAAATTTATAATGCTAAGCCAACCAAGGACTTTTGACTCCTTTGAGATGTGGGGCGGTAATTGGAAATTAATTGTGGACCCTTGACAATTGGTGACCCAGGCATGGGATGAAGAAATTAACAGTAGCTTCTCTGAACTAATTTGAATCTATTGATGGAATGGAGAACATTCTCTTTTATTTTTTGAAGATCCTTAAGCGTCAGGGTTTTCGAAGTGGAAAAAAGAAACAAACAATTAATACGAATCAATTCAGAATAAACAGATATTCATTTAGATAAACTTATGAATCAAAGTGTAAAAGAGAACGAAGAAAATTGCTAATCAGTTTAAAGTTTAACTAGCTTTCCTTTTTTATTGTTCATCTATCACCTCTATCACCATCTATGTTGTTGGAGCAATTTAACAAAATGTTTTCCACCGTTGTCCGTCATTGAAATATCGACAGAAATCTTCCAATTTATTAAAAGAGATAAATTGCCTCTCCAGCAAGAATATAAAGGACCAAATATGCAGCTATTTTTTATCGTAAAAAATGCTTTGAGGCCAGCGAATACCAGTGTCAATGTCGTTCCAGTGTTTGTGATGGAGACCATGGGGACCTTGGCCCAGGGAGCACAACAAGGAACAAGGATAATGCCCTTCAATCAAGTCTGTGGCTCCCGGAGCTGACGTGACTGTTGCTTATTTCACGCTTGGCCCTGTCATTGTCCCGCTGCCGGGACATTGTCTGCCAGCCCAGGCCCAGGGCCTGATTATCGACGATTTTGCAGGAATTGCTGATAGCTTAGGACGTCCATAAACGCCAGGTTCGCCAACGGTTCTGGAAAGGAGAGAAGGATATCGGTTAGGGGTTGTTGGATGATGAATCATAGTCCGTAACAAATCACTTTCTGCCGGTGATGTCCCGCGCCTCCTGGCATCACCAAAATTAACATCCGTTGAGTAGAACAGCCCATACCCTAGCTTTAGAACATACCGGTGTCGTTCGAATGTTTCGGATTCGGTCATAAATCCGCCTCTTTGGGTGCGTCATCTGCCTTTGGCACCGCTGTTGAATTTACATTCGAATCGGCTTCGGATTTGCTTCCGAAGAAAAAATTGGTCAGAATACTCTCCCGCCTCTTGCCGCCGGGATCACCAGTACCCCCGCGGGCTCGTCCTCCACCACCACCGCCCTCGTCCATGAAGGGCGTCATTATTTCCATGGGGAAGGGGTAAAGGATACAGCAACGGCGCTCTGCGGCAATCGAGGTAAGAATTTGTAGATGCCTTAGCTAAAGCGTAGAAAAAGGCGGAGGAGTTAGGTGTATTCGCATAAAGCTCCTTTCGACGGCCCACCTGCAGGGTGATCTTGTTCTGGGACATCACATCGGATGCCTCCTTCAGAGCCTGCGAGGCATTCAGCTCGCCCTCGGCTGAAATGATCTTGGCCCGCGCCTCCCTAATTGCCTCTGCCTCACTGGCCAATGATCGCTGCATAGAAAGTGGTAGACTGATGTCCATCCTATGGAACCATAGCACAAGATAATCAGTGAAAGATGAGTCGAGGATCAGGGAGAATTATCGGGTTGACTTACACGTCCACTCTCTCCACTCGCACTCCCCATCGTTCCGTGATATCATCGACGGCAACCTGGATCTCCTTGGAAAGGGTGTCTCTCGAGGTGAGAAGGGTATGGAGCGGCTTGGCACCGACTATGTGCCGCAGTGTGGTCTGGGCTATCAACACGGTAGCCTCCCGGGCATCATCCACCTGAATGAGGGCATCCATGGGATCTTTGATGCAGAAGTACAGAACTGCGTCAACGGAAATCGTCACCGAGTCTCTGGTGAGGATGTCCTGAGAGGGCACCTCGGTCGAAAAGGTGCGTAGATCTACCTTGACATAGGAGTCGATGCACGGCAGAGTCCACACGAGGCCAGGGCCCCTGACGCCCTTCCTTGAGACAGAGCGGGGTATGCGGCTATGGGGATAATACTACCAAAATATCTGTTGATCCTCACCTGACGCGACCCAGTCGGAAGATCAGCACCCGATGGTTCTCCCTTACCACAATCAGGCACAAGAAGATCGACAGGGGAAATGTGATGACCACAAGCAACAATGACAGGCAGACGGCTATCTGCTCGAAGCCCGAATTTTTGTCATCCTCGGCTGGAAAAGATCTCAGACGATAAGGATGGAAGCTAGTAGATGGGTTGGACGGATTCCCTTACTGGTTGTAATGTATCTGGATGGCCTAACCCTTGGACCTAGGATGGGCTCAGGATCTGGAGGCCCCTGATGGGGTTTGTCCGGCGCTTCGTCTGGCTGTTTGTTCGACTGTGGAATTGGCGGTGGTGTTTCCTTGGGCGGTGGAGTATCCTTGGGCGGTTCCTTCGCTGGCGGTGGCGGAGGCTCATCACCATCTATGAAGGACGATTGAGTTTCCTGATCTACTTTTTTCATTACGAAGATTTTGAATAACTAAGGGAAATACTATAATATGACTTAGAGATCACAGTCTGCTTTCTTCCCTGACAGGCCAGTGGAAATGAATGTACATAAACTACTGTTCTACCCTTTAACCGGACAGATGACGCGGCTACAAGACTATTTACTCTCATGAATTTTTCAATTTATTTCCCTACGCTGGAAGGACGGAAACAGGGAAATAGTTGTAGCAAATATGAACGGGGGGAGGGGAAATGCACAGAACCCGCAAATGCTCATAAATATTCCTTTTTCCTTTTCCATGCAGCCGTGGGCGAGAGAGTTGAAGCGGGGGAGGGAGCGGGGGCGGGATCGGGAAAGAAAGCTCAACTGCAGCCCATTCGCTGTCAACCCACAAAACCCCAAAAGTGCACATTACTTTACCTCATAAGCAAGCCACTTCTTTAAAAAGGGAATACGGCAGAGTCTGTGTGGGTGCCAAAGGGGGCGAATGTAGTGAAATGGAAATACCTACAGTGCGGATCGACAATTTAATTCTATAGAAAGTTTGAGCTTAAGAAACTTTAAAGGGATATTTAGTATTTGATGTTGAAACATTGTCGAAGCTTAGTTTTACACTTTAATAACAAAGATGACAAGGAAATAACATCAATCGTTTTGGGGACTATAACTATGATGGTACATTGACTGAAAAGATAAGGAAAGAGTTTCCTCTCATTAAATGTGACAGTTATCACTCTCTATTATTATCTGTTCTTATAATAGATGCCATCTCGTTTTCATTACGTTTTTATAGTTTCGCAACGCACTATACTTAGCGCCTTGACTGCCGCGGCACAAGTGTCAAAATCTGACATGGAAAAATGAACCCAACACGAAGAGCTCCTAATTTCAGTTACAAAAGCCGGCTACGGGCTTCTTGCCACCGCCTCGCGCCTTCATGTCGCTTCCAGCGGAGGCATGAAGTGAGATGAGAGATGACTGTGGCAGGGCGGGAGGACAGAGTGGTCGGGCGGGCAGGGCGGGCAGGGCGGCAGACGGAGGGTAAGCTTCCGATGATAATACCTGGTAACATGAACGTGACGATGACTGGCAAGATAACATTGAAATATTGCTTTGGCCAGAGCTCCCTGCTCCACAGAGGCAGAGACTCGCAGTGGCTCCTCGTTTAGTCCTCCTCTCGGTCCTGGCCCTGGTGCTAGTCCTAGTCGTATTCGTGGTCCCCATCGTGGGCAATTATAATTAGATGTGACTGACGCTCGGAGCTCAATTAAAAGCCACGTGGTCCCGGTCCGGGAGCCAGGCGAGCCGGAAAAATTGGGTTAAAACGTGCGGCGGCAAATACTCGAATGCAGCCCAGAAAAACCGCTCCAAATTGTTTCTATTTCAATTTGCCAGCCTGGTTTTTCGGGTGCGGAAGCGTGACATTTTGGCTATATTGAAATTTATGTTTTTCCGACTCAAATCCCGCACATTTACACAACTTTGGGCCCCGCACTGTGGGCCTGTGGAACCAGGGGCAAAAGTTTTCGCGTTCATTTTCATGCCAAATTTCGGCACACATCCGCGTCTGTGGTCAGGTCCCCCATCCGCAACCCTAAAAACCCACGGATCGGGGTCGGTCTCCACCGGAAGCCTTCGGCAATGCGACGATGGGAAATTGGTTTATTTTATTCCCATCGACAGTTTGTTGGCTGTACAGAGGGGTTTTCGATGGTTGGTTGGATGGTTGGCCGATTGGTTGTTTTTGGGGAATTTTCAAATTAACATGAAATACGATTTAACGATTTTGTTGGAAAAATCCAATTAGGAAAAAACAATTTCCTTTTTTTATAACGGTTCTTTTTTGTGTCGGCGACTACCAACAAAATAATTAGAGCCGTATTAGTTGAATTCTTGATTTCTTTTCAGTTTTTCCCTATTAAAGCCGTTGGGGAAATGTTTGGCTAATTCTTGGGAACTAATCAAACCAAGAATTCTTCTTTTAGTGTTTCTGATGAAGAGCCACGTTTATGGCTAATTTTCGTATAGCAATAAAAAAAGGTTGCCCCTAATATCTGCTTTAGGCCAGCTTACTTTCCTGTTTGGGGAAACAGATTGGTTTAAAGTATGAAACCAATTTTGTAGCCACGTTTCTGGTACTAATTCAAGTCTAGCCGCGCGCTAATGAAAGCAAATATCCCGCGTTTTGCCCAAATGAAGTCGGTCTCCATCAGGCCAAATACACGGGAGCAAAAAAGGTCACTCACTCGCATGCCCGTCTGCCCCAGCGTCCGCCTCTCTTTCGCTCAACCGCATGCAGCTGCAAATGCATTTTGAGGGTGCCACCGCAGAAACACCAAAAACCGAAAAGGGAGAAACGAAACCCAAGAGTGAATGAAGTGGAAGACATGAATGGGAATGAGAATGGGAATGGGACTAGGCGAAACAAGTATATTCCGAGCAGCAAAAAAATTGGGGGCTAAATGTGCTCGTTAGTGGTTTTCCAGCTGACTTTGTTTCTCTGTCTGTCTTTGTCTGTTTCTGTGTCTCTTTCCACCCATTGGTTACCGTACCCCACATATTCGTATCCGTATCCGTATCGCATAAATTGTGTCTGTGTCTAGCAGGGGGTAAGCACACACTCCCTATGGCTATATCTTCTGGTCTCTTCCCAGAATTCCTTTCAAAACTGTGTGACTTTAAGCAAAGTCAACACGCAATTTAAATAACAATTGGATTTCTGGTAAATGTTTGTGCGGGAGGGAGAGTGTCATTAGCAAGACATTTATACGCCTCAGTGGAGCATCGCCACACATGTTGGCCAATTTATGTGCTTATGTACATTATTCAGGAACCTTCTGCTGAGCATAAATTAAGTCAAGGCCAAAACATGGTGGTTTGGGGAATATGTCTAACTGGGAAGACAAGACATTTTGCCAGTCATGTGTCGCTCAATGTTCTACATGGGCGCCTAGAAGCCCATATGCATATTCCTTAAAGACCGGGTCCTTACAAGATCGGGATTTTATTGATGGATTTTGGAGCACAAATGACTCAAAACAATGAGATTACGGTTTTCAAAGAGGCGACTCTTAGTCGATGGTATGGGCGGTTTCCCAAAATACCAAATCTTACTCTCCAGCAAGCACTTAGCACCACTCAAGCAGTGCGAGCAGATAGGGGGCAGTTGTTTACTGCTTCTCCACTGCTTGCTTTAACCGTTTGTTCTCCGGCTGAGCTGCTTTATTTTCTCCAGCTTCCCCATAAGTATGCTACTGTTTTTGTATGTGTGTGTGTGTGTGTGTTTTTATGCGCTTAGCAGCCATTTAATCTGGCGTTGCGTTGAGTGAATGTTTTAACACTAACTCCCCATTGTAGCTGGAAGGCACTCGCACTGCACCTGTAAAGGCACCCCCACTGTACCTTTAAGGCCATTCATTCCACATGCTGAAGGGAATTATGTGAAGTGGACCGTTTGACTGACCAGTCACCTGCTTCTATCTTCTCCCTGCTCTTCCCGTTTTCCAGCTATCTTCCCTTCGTTTTCTTCTTCTTATTCTCCTGATATCTTTCCTTCTCCCGTACTACTTCTTCTACCCCACATCCTCTGTAACATGGCCGTTTTATCTAAGCTCAGCTTTGGCATTGTTAATGCCAACACATTTTCACATTTTTACCCACTTGGCAAATTTACGTATTCCCCCCCGTTCACGGCTCCTGTCACGGCATTTGTACTTTCATGCACTTTAGTGAGAGCGCTCAATCCTTACGGAGGGGCAGCGCCTCCTCATGTAGTAAGAAACGCAAACTGGAACGGGAACCCCTCAAATCCTCATGAAATTCGGAGCCAGAGCAAGAAAAAAGTGGGATTTTATCTTTTAGTCGCTTGTTGCTTGGGTTCCTTGAAGTCCAATGTCTGGACACTCCCGGCTGCAAAAATACGTATACGTATACCGTATACGTACGGACGGGTCGGCCTGACGTGGACTTATCGCATGTTTGGGATTTATGTTGAAGGAACAATGCTGCCGCTTTGCCTGATTGTGGGGATTAAAAGCCTCGCATCGCATCGGGCCTTAGTTAGATTTATGCAACATTAATTTATGGTTCTAGAGAAACTGCTTAAATTGCTTACATTTGTTGGGACATAATTGAATTTATTTGAAAGTTTGCAGAGTTACCCGCAAGCGCCACAATAATATTGAGTATCGCATGGCCTCTGACCTCTATCTTTGAACCAATGTCTTTTTGTTACGATTTCCTATGGAGAATATTTGCTTTCGCACCATTCATTGTCGTCGCCTAACAATAGACAGGGACAAAGAGAGACAGCGAGAAAGAGAAATTTAATGAAATTTCAAATTTGCCATACACTTTCTGTCTCAGGCTCAGAACTCAGGCTGTTGGTGTCCCAGTCTCGCCTCAGTCGCTGTCTTAGGTACTGGCTAAACGAGCAAAGTACGCGTAGGTGCATCCTTGATTGTCGTCTCCTCAGACTAACGATCCTAATTGGTTGTACCATTCACCAACAGCATCACTTTGATTGAAACGCATCTCCCGCCTCGTTTGGCCAGTACTTTCGTAACTGCCTCAGTCCCAGTCGCTGCCGTAGCCTCAGTTTGCATGTCCGGACACGACTCGACAAGACTATCCCGCACTCGCCTTGTTCGTCGTCTCTTTTGTCCTCCTGCGACAGCTGCTCATTTCACGCTTGGTAATTTCAATGAATTTTCGTCCGGTAGGACAGCATGCGACGCGATGCCACGCTATCCTGTTATTTGTATGCCGCTTCATTAATTAAATTTCCTCTTTTATATTTGATATACAATTTAGTTTGAATAGTTATTCATAGTTATTCATAGTTTCGGCTGGAGCCCGTTTCAATTACTTGCTTGAGTGGTAAACACTTAAATTAGTCCCATAACTATCCCTGAAAGGTTATGCTTTTTATGCTAGAGGTGTGCTACGCACAGAGAAAACTTCACAATGTTTACCAATGTTTATCGTACAAAAAATTTTAAAGTTTAATAATAGCTTAACAATTTTGAAATCGTCTTCACCGACGCAACATTTCCGCTTGACGAGCGGGTAGGTAGGCAAAGAAGCAACTCTTTACAGTCGGCGATTTAAGGAACTGTGGACTCATGGCTTTCCAGCAGGTACGGGTCTCCTGTAGCAGCTTCTCGTTGAGAAAATGATAGTACTCGTTCCTCAGTCTGTTGGCCGTGGCCACCAGCTCGACGGATTGGCTGTACTTGAAGTCCCCCATGAGTTCTTTCTTCTGGACACTAGGAGCATTTTTCTGCTGGGAAATCACGTCAAAGAAGGCTAGCTCCGCTTTCTTTGCATTGACTTCGACCTCCGTGTGATGGTAGATCTTGCCATAGCGCCGCTTGACCCACTCTTGCACCACCACCGCCTTGTAGGAGTCGGGGAAGGCGGCGAACACCAGCCGGGGATCACGGCGCAAGACTCGGAAGGCATCCCGCCGCAGCCGCTCCATTAGCTTGCTGTTGTTGGGGTCAAAGTATTTAATTTCATCGATCCAATACAGGGGATTAGTCTTGTCCGGCGTGCAATTGGGCCCCAATGGAGTGTTCTCCTTCTCCCACTGCCGCTGATAGGCCTCCAGGGAGCCAAGCCACATGCTCTTGGCGCACTGAACGATCGTCTCGACCACCTGTGCTCTATAATTGAAGCTCCCTTTCATGCTCTCCCCGCTGCCGGACATATCTTCGGGAGTAGCTCTTAGCGATCGGAGGACCTGCCTTCCGATAACCTTTTCACTTTCTGGGGCATCGGGTGATATTTCCTGGTAGTGGAACAGGAAGGGTTTGTGCAGCTTGGCTGCCTCGAAGAACCTGCATGGCGAGCACGCTAGGTCCTCCAGCTCGTTTTCCATTATCGTGAACCGGGTCGTACCTTTCCTGGGAGTCTTACCAAGTGGTGGTGGTGGTGAACACTTGGGCAGCTCGAGCTCAGTGCCCTCAGGGGCAAGGGGTAGACATGGCTCCTCCTCGGGATCGGATACACGCGCTCCGGCCTTAGACCTTACGCGATTCTTTTCGGTGATCACCTGTACGCTGGCTGTGTTCGACGTCTCTAGACGTCTGATATCATCCTCCTGGCACATGTACATCATCTTGGCAGGGCAAGCGGGTGTGGACACTGTGCGTCTGCCGCAGAAAATTCCTTCTTGCCTGACCAGATCCACGTGCGTGTACTGCAATCCTCTAAGCTTCTTCCAACGCAACGTACAGTCCTCAATGTCCTTGTCCAGAAGAGAGATCACACGTTTCTTCAGGCGAACATCCTCGCGTACTTCGAGATCCACGAGGTCGAGGCAACGGTCGCGGATCTTAACCACGATCTCATCCTTCACGAGCTGCTCCTGGCGCAGAGCCTCCACGTGGTTCTTGCACAGAGACGCGTCTCGATCGATGAACTCGCCCAGACTCAACTTCTTCCAGTATTTGTCCATAATGTCGGACACTGCCTTCAGGAGCACCCGCTTGACCGGCTGGAACTGGTAGGTGGCGAACCAGCGGTCCGCATCGTTAACTTTGTATGTGGCCTTTTGGCCCGGTGGCCAGAAGGGAAACGACACCACGTGGCTGCTATGCTTACAGCTGAAGCGATCCATATTCCTCGCTGGACCTGGTCTTGACAGCTTCTGGAAGTACGGGGACTTGGATTTCGAGCCCTGGCGCTCCTTTGGTGCCCCGACCCGAAGACACACCTGTGGCGTCTGCTCTTCTTTCACGCGAGGCTCATAGCCCGGCGGTAGGATACGATCCAGCTCCCGGAAAGTCATCTCCAGGTCGAGAAACATGATGCAGGACATCAGGATCTGCTCGGTTGAGGTCAAAGGTGTCCGACACGACTTGTAGTGGCCCTCCAGGAGAAAGTACAGGAAGGCAAGGTCACTGCTGCGGCTCAGATAGACCAGGCTCTGTAGCTGCCTAGGCTTCAGCATTGGCGTTATACCCAGCCTCGCGAGGCAGATTCTAGTCCGATCGGTGGTGCCCACATCGGCATCATCCTTGATGGCGTAGGCCAAATCGTACAGGGCTTCCAACTGAAAGTCGGAAAGAACGGTATACCACGTCGCTATAGGCATTGTGTTCTGGAAGATTCGTTGGTTGTTTTGCGCCTCGAATCAATTAAAAAAATACTTGAATAAAATAACTAAAAAATTTATTTTCTGCTTTCCGAAGTAATGTTTTTAAAATGGAAGTTTAAAATGGTTTGAATTCATTTCTTATGACTTGTGAAATGACATTTTACATCGATAAATTATAAGGCGACTTCATCATTCTTTTGTAGAATTTTCTTTTAGTAGGAATCCTCTTAAGAAATGCCCTTTCACACGATTCCAGATATAAATCTCATAACCACATGTACATATGCATGTATCCTTTGATCGACCCTCAATTATCGCTCAGCAATCAACAGTGATTGAGGCAACTGCAACTCCATCTGCATGAGAATCCCATTAATTTGCCACCATGCAACACACTCAACAAGTGGCAGACACACAACTCAATGGACTTCATCCTACAAACCTCTCTGTTCCTTTTTTTGTTTTTTGTTCCGCTCCCACCAATACGAGGATTCCATTACCCATCCTGACAACTGACAATGACGGATTAGTTCATCTGCGGAGGGCTTGCCCTGGTATTGGGTTGGACATTCATTTGCTCTCCGTTTCGCAGTTCATACCGGGACCGTCCTGGTGGCCCATCTGCTCCGCTGCCGTCGCCTTCTCCTTGGGGACTAATAACTTTATCCGTCATCGGAGCAAAATATAATAGAGTAATTTTCTATGTGACGCGCCAGGATAATTGGCTGGACTCGGACTTGGACATGGGGCTCTGGCTGGACCATATGTCGCTGCACTTGCAATCAGATAAATTGTGGCAGGAGGTGACAGCGACAGAGAGGGCAGAGGAGCAAAACGAGGCGGGGCCTCTCCGCAGAAGAATGGGACAAATCACATAAATTACTTTATGATGGCATCCCAGCCAGGAATCTGGTAGGAAAACTTTCGGTCCGGCCTGGCACATGTGGTCACGGAGTGACAAAAAACTTGCAACTTCCACTCTGCTGCTGCTACTGCTACTGCTCCTTCTGATGCTTCTGATGCTGCCACAAAGAAGCAACAAAAGTCATTTCGAAGTTATTACCCCGCTCCTTTTGACTCTCTGCTCTAGGATCCCTCTCCTCTGGTCAGTTGCCATTTGTTTGTCGCTTCATAAAGAAAAAAGAGAAACCAAAGGGAAAAGGCGGGAAAACAAAAGTTTTCCTTCTTTAGCTCTCTGAACTTTTGTCAGCTTCGTTCTGTGATAAAGTTTTTTCCCCCTTCTATTCATTTTCCGCCTCTCAATTTTTTCCTTATTTTCTCTGTGGATGGACTCTCGCACAATTTTTGACCGTCCCGCATATTTTTCTCTATTTTTTTCGGGGATATTTTTATTTATTTGTGCTGGAAAAGTTTACTATTCAACAAAGTTGCATCAAAAATGCAATTCCGAATAAATTTTCCAGTTTCGCGTTACTTTTGGATCGCATAAATATGCAAATAATTAAATTGGCGAAATTTTAAGCTCTGCGATTTCAATAAAGTGTGACGAAATAAACTGATTTGGATGTTTTGATCCTTGAATTTACTGATCAATTCAGCTGTTCTTTTTTGAAATTCCCTTCAGAATAATTCAATTGAACAAATTCTTTGTAATGAGTTATCCTACAAAGCCGAATAATGGGACACCCCCTGGTCGGGATATTCGATGGGCTGATACTGATGATGAGCCTCCAACATCACCAGACCCGCGACCATTCAAGAGGCCGGACGAACCATCTCAGGGGCCTCCCGATCCTGAGCCCATCCTAGGTCCACGGGTTAAGCCATCCAGATACATTACAACCAGTAAGGGCATCTCTCCAACCTATCTACGAGCTTCCATCCTTATCGTCTGAGATCTTTTCCAGCCGAGGATGACAAAAATTCGGGCTTCGAGCAGATAGCCGTCTGCCTGTCATTGTTGCTTGTGGTCATCACATTTCCCCTGTCGATCTTCTTGTGCCTGATTGTGGTAAGGGAGAACCATCGGGTGCTGATCTTCCGACTGGGTCGCGTCAGGTGAGGATCAACAAATATTTTGGTTTCTTTCCATCCCCATAGCCGCATACCCTGCTCTGTCTCAAGGAAGGGCGTCAGGGGCCCTGGCCTCGTGTGGACTCTGCCGTGCATCGACTCCTATGTCAAGGTAGATCTGCGCACCTTTTCGACCGAGGTGCCCTCTCAGGACATCCTCACCAGGGACTCGGTGACGATTTCCGTGGGCGCAGTGCTGTACTTCTGCATCAAAGATCCCATGGATGCCCTCATTCAGGTGGATGATGCCCGGGAGGCTACCGTGTTGATAGCCCAGACCACACTGAGGCACATAGTCGGTGCCAAGCCGCTCCATACCCTTCTCACCTCGAGAGACACCCTTTCCAAGGAGATCCAGGTTGCCGCCGATGATATCACGGAACGATGGGGAGTGCGAGTGGAGAGAGTGGACGTGTAAGTCAACCCGATAATTCTCCCTGATCCTCGACTGATCTTTCACTGATTATCTTGTGCTATGATTCCATAGGATGGACATCAGTCTACCACTTTCTATGCAGCGATCATTGGCCAGTGAGGCAGAAGCAATTAGGGAGGCGCGGGCCAAGATCATTTCAGCCGAGGGCGAGCGCAATGCCTCGCAGGCTCTGAAGGAGGCATCCGATGTGATGTCCCAGAACAAGATCACCCTGCAGGTGGGGCCTCATTTATGCCTTACTTCATATCTCTGTATCTCTATCTCTGAGCCTTTTTCTGTATTTTAGCTAAGACATCTACAAATTCTTACCGGAATTGCAGCAGAACATAGATGCACGATTATTTTTCCATTCCCCATGGATGTGATGACAGCGTTTGGCACCGTGGAAGGATCCTCTAGCAGCAATCAAAAGCCGGGTGGAACAGATGCCGGTGGGGCGAACCAGAGCTCAGATTTTGATCAATTTGGAGACTTCACCCCGAAGGTGATAATCACAGAACCAGCAAATCTCCCCGAAGACCTACGTTTCGGGGAGAGTGAAGAGGAACCAGAAACGAGTAACACACAGAAGCGGGAAGCAACGGAACGGAAAGCTGAAATTCCAGAATCTATGCAGGAACGAAAAGGTGAGGATGCAGAATCGCTACATGAACAAACAGGAGTGGAGAATGATATGAGCAGTGAGGGAGATAGTAACAACGAAAGGAAAGTAGAAACAGCGGCGGTAGCTGAAAATGATAATAGATATGGTAATAGTAGCAGAATAGCATCGAGGCTTACACGTCTTATTTCGCCATATTCTAGACAACCCAATACAAGAATCGAGAGTGAAACTGATCCTCCAACCAGGCCCGCAGGTGATCAGCACCGGCAGCGTCAAGCTGGAAATGAATTCAGTTACTATTCGATAATTCCCGAGAAAGAAGATGAACCAGATACAAATATTAAAGTTAGTTTATCGCGATCTCCTCCGCCGAGACCGCCACCACCTCCCCCTCCGCCTCCTCCGCCACCTCCTCCTCCTCCGTCTACGCCTTCAGCACCGCCCTGGAATCCTTGGGACGTTTATTAGTTATTTAATCGAATTGACATAAATACCTAATGTAAATATACATATGAGCACTGGCAAAGGAATGGCAAATAAAGTACAATTTGTATTAACATATCATGTTCGATTTTAGATTCAGCAAGGAACCTGTGAAGCTTATGTCATATAAGCTAGTGTCGCTTTATTTCCATTCAAACGAATCAAAATCTTTTCGATATAGTAGTATATTATATAGTTATCCCAAATATGTCGGATCTGAATAAAATATTTGTTGGTTGGGCAACAGAGCAGAGTCCAGTTGCATCGGATGTGGACTTGGAGGCTCTGAAGAGTGAAGAGTTCGAGGTCAGTCCCATGGTATTGGGTCTGATGCTGTCCTTTTTGCTGTTCGTGATTGCCTTCTGGATCTGGCTGATCTCCCGAAGCTGTCTGCTGGCAGAGCCTGTGCAGAATACTAAGGGCCGAAGGGCTCGACAGGAAGGAGGTCAATCTACTGCGGCCAGAAAGTCCGCAGGTCGCGTCTTAAACAAAAAGAAGAAAAGCCGCACGTCCTTGTCCAGCAAACCGAAGTGGAGCAGCTTTCTATCATTGCCGCAGCTCAGATCCCCACGACTGTCAAGAAGCTATTATATGGGATTGGACCGGATGGCGCCTTTCCATCTTCGCTTCGAGTCGGAGCGCATCACCAGCGATTCGAAAACGATCACTCAAAGCACAAGGAATGCGAGAACAGGACCGGGAAGCGGACCGGGAGCAGGAACAGGATCATCATTGACAGAAACAAGCATTCGAGTATCTAAGGAATCCTCCAGAGCAAACACAACGTCTACTATTGGAACAGGAACAGGATCATCATCATTGTCAGAATCAAGCAGTCGAGTGTCTAAAGAATCGTCCAGAGGAGCCTATGATAACACAACCGGAATGTCTACCTCACCCCACGGCTGTTTGGTCAGCAATCGGAGCAGGACAGCGGGTTTGCCCTTGAAGAAATACAAAATCCGGTGGGCCAACTTGGCCAATCAGAAGGTTCGATTCATGATTTAAGACACAATGCTACACAGTGAAAGCTCCTTAGAACGGTCATCATAAATTTGACAAGAGATTAAAGTCCAAAATTATAAATATTACCCTCCTGTAGAGCTTTCAGTCTACACTTTCGTTCTGTAAAACAAAGCAAGCTTGGAAAAATAAAACTACTGTTACAAGTATTTAATAAAAATATATAAAATATACAAAATGAATCCTGCATGCAAGATAGACCTGGCCTGTCGTGAGTGCCAGGATTGGATGACGGAGGTGTGCGCCCACTGCAGCAGCCTGCTGCCGGATGCGGAGGAGTCAGCCCTTTGGGACGCTTGGTGGCCGGACGAGCCTCCATCGCCCTACAAGTCCGTGGTCAACTATATGTCCGCCTTCGACTGCCACAAGCTGCGGCGGGAGGTGGGGCGTCTGGTGGAAGAGTCGTTGGAGTCAACGTCCGAATCAGCTCCTATTTGGGCACCCTACAGAATCTTTCGCTTCATTTTACTGGCCACCGTATTGTGCGTTGTCCTTATCCTGATGATGTACGTAGTGTGGATACTAGTGGTTACCTTCCGGCAAACTCCGGCTACGCCTTGTCGGCAATGTTCTCAGTCGAGGACAATGCAATGCAAGAAGTCGTCGTCAGAAGTATCAATACTGCGTAATCCGTTAAAGCGTGCCTATCCTGGGGAGTCCGCTTCCAGGAGTCCCTGTGGACTCTGTATAGCGGGCAGCTGCAACCTGTCCAATCAGGACAACATCTCGAGGACGTCATATCGCAAGCAAGAGCAGCGTAATATAAGATGGAAAGCAGATAATTTTTGGCGGTAGAGCAAGGAAGAGTCCAGATGGCTGCTAAGCATTTCAAACTAGCGGAAAAATAAAGCAGGAGAAACGTGAAAAAGCACAGCAAAATAACACCAACAAATTCGAAAACTGTCGTAGCTGTGCTCAATCGGGGAGAAGATTTATGAAATGTGTTCCGTTCCGCCCCGATTTGCTCCCTTTTTGTTCGTCGATTTTTTTTGTTGGTCTTTGGTCTTGTTTCTTGTTTCGTTTTGCTTGTGTGCCGCCAACAAACGGGGAAGAGAAAGTCGAGCCAAAAGAGTGCAAGCGGCAAACACACAAAAACAAATAAATATTCAAGCAGATTTACAGTGGACCTAACATATTATTTGTTCTTTCGATGATCACAATAAAATTTCACTTGGGTTTGTTATTAATAATTGAATTAAATTAAACAGCTTTCAATTGAAAAGCCATATCGCCTTTTAGCCAATATTAACCAGGTATGGCCCACTGTAGGACGCACACACATCAGACATCTCGTGCACTGTGCACGACCAATGTGACCCCACCAAAGTGGCTTGGCCAAGTGTTGTCCCTGGCAGCGTATCAACATTTTGCCTATAAATACGGCGAATGTCGTTAATCTCAAATGCAAGCAATTTTTAAAAATCCATAGACTATGGTTTATCGCCCGCCTGGGAGGGCATCCGCAGAGGAGTGAAGGCGGTATGAAGTCTGACGAAGGGTCAGAGAGCACGGAATTGGCCATAAAAAAACAATTGCATTTAATTTCAATCGAATGCACACACTTTCAAATCGAAATTGTAGCAAACAATTTAGACAAAATGCATTTATATTTATGTTATGTCTAAATGATTGTTCAAATTATGGATGCCAGCGAAAAATTTATGTGATTTTCTTTTATATTTCAGTGAATTTATTTGCGGATTTGGTAGGGGAGTCGTCGACCCGGACGGCCAGAACCCAAAGAGCTCGTATATTCTGCAGTAGCAGCAGTTGGGGCATTTAAATCACGGCCGCAACTGTAACGAAATTGAAAACTTTTCCTATATGTACATAGGTACATATATATGTATATATATAAACGAATATGTTTGTTTGTCCCACTGTTTGTTTGTTTGTCTGTCTGTTGGTACTTTTAATTCATTCGATTCATGCAGCTGCCGCTCCCGAGCGAGACCCTTGGCTGACTTTGATTTATTTGTCGGTCGGTCTCGATGTCCAAAATGGAATTAAAAGTTTAACGGGTTGGCAGCGCTTTCCTTTCCCGCTTTAGTGCTTTAAAAACGCATTGATTGCTATTGACAAATTGATTTGCTGCCTTCCTGCGTGTCTGCCTTTAATGTCAATTCCATTCCAGCTTTATTAACAATTTGCGAATGCGACATTATGACAGTCTGTCGTCGTAAATCAACCGGCCGCAGACCACAAACGAGTTGAGGCCTCTTTCTGGTTCTGGTTCTGTCAACCCTTTTGGCTCGTTATTTCTGACTGCACAATTTCTACAAGCGCTACACAATTCAATACTCGTACTTATTGATGTAATAATTAATCTTCGTTACAATATTTGCACCTCCTCTTCAGAAATCCAATTAGAATTCCATTCCAATCCATTTGATGGCTCAACAAATTTATTTATCAAATCAATCAACTGATTGTAGAATTCAACACTAATTATTTACGCTCACTAATACATTTCTTGAGCTCTTGAAGTGAAATTTAGCTCTACATAAGTATGCAGATTATATTAATTTTATTCCATTCCTGGAGACATAAGCCTTCCGAGTCGCTAATTGCCTCAACATTCCACTCTCCCAATGTCACTTAACCGACGCTCTATGAGAATCTCGAGGATATGTATGAAATGCAGGAATTCTTTGATATTTGAACAGAGCACTCGTATTTTATCGTGGTTTAAGCCAATTACCAGATTGCCGAACAATGTGGAACTTCCCTGGGGAAATGTATTCACCGAGAGTATTTTAGAAGAACTTTTTTTCTTTTTAAAATATCAACCATAGCTTCGAGCTGGCTTTTGAAGAGTTTCCTCTTTAGCTTTTAGAAGTATTTCTAAAATATTGAAAACTTTCTCTCCGTGTAGTGCTTTCATGCTCTAGCTTCATTCTTTACTCGATTTAACTCGTTGATTTTGTGGCTTACACTCATTAAGCCAGCCTGCACCGACCCCTGCCATTGTTAGTGGGAGTCTGGGGATGGAGGGCCTGCTGGCCACTCCCGTCTTGTCGTACCCCTCCATATATTTGAGCGTTGCAGCCAGCTGTAGATGGTTCTTTGTTGGATTGAGACTGGCACAGGAACCATCGACTCGGAGTAGGATGGGCATATGTTTTCCTCACGTCCACCCTTCATTACTGAAGATGTGGTCTGCATGTGGACGTTGAGTTTTATTCTCGGCTCGGTCCCGGTCTCGGACTCAGTCTTCGAGTTGATTTATTTTATGCCCTTGCGCCGGCTGCAATCATCAACCGGCCATTGTTGTAACTCGTCCATTCGCCCACAGTTGGCCCTGGTGGCGCTATATGGGGGGTATTGTGTGGATCTGGGGGTCTCACTTTTGAAGAACTCAAACAAAGTATTAAATCGCACAAAAGCGATATGGAAAATATTAATAATCTGGCCCTGGCCCTTGTCCATAGTCTAGGAATTTACGATGGCTCGTCGTTTATTTATTCCTACCCTCGGAACCGCCCACACAATACGACCTCATTACATATTCAGGGGTCAACTGTGTTGGCTTTAAAGTGGACATCGGCATGGACTGGAGCAGATTGTACAACTAATTTTCATTCAAGTTTATCAGAGGCAGAGCAACCACAAGGACTGCATAATTCAGCAGATCCAGGTCCGGACAGTCGTGTAAGCCATCGTGGGAGATATCAATTCAAGGCGCATAATGTGGCAATCGGTGGAACATTCGGTAAATATGAATTTTAGATTTGATTGAATATTAAATAATATTGGGCGCTGCTTTATCTGTTTGTGTTTCTGTTGGAAAAGCGCCATTTGACAAGATATAAAGCAAACAATTGATATGGGTTTATAAGGG